GCTTTAAAAAAAAAACCACAGCTGAACCATCCTACAGGTCGCCTGCCCAGAGCGCCCACACCCCAGCAGAATGTCCTCTGCTCCAGGCTTATGCTGTCAGCAGGGTGAGGAGCCCTGGCCTTGATGCTCCTGTGTTCTGATCAACAGTCTCCCTTATCCTCAGGCCCAATTGTGTCAACGTGCTGGTCACCACCACTCAACTAATTCCTGCCCTGGCCAAAGTCCTGCTGTATGGGCTGGGTTCCGTGTTCCCCATTGAGAACATCTACAGCGCAACCAAGACAGGTAGGGAACCCCGACCTCGGGGCGCTGCCGGGAGGGTGAGTGAGCTGTCCATTCCGGCGTGGGAAGTCTAAGGAAAATGGCACAAAGGAGGTTAAAGAACTTCTCCATGGGCAAGGCTCAGACCCCCAAAACTAGCCCCTCAACCCACTTGCTTTAACCTTCGCTTCCAGGAAAATTGTATTGTTGCAGAGTGTGTTAGCTCCTACAAATGTGCTCCCACACACCTTGAATGGGGGGCTTACATCAGAGTCAGCTTATTTCCCTCTCGAGTAACAGACCACAGGTAGGTGATCCAGGTGAGGGGTGGCCGTGTCCTCAGTCACCCAGGAAGCCAGGTCCTTCCTGTTTAATTTTTCCACCCTCCTCTATGGCTTCATTCTCATGTACGTTTGTGGTCACATCAGAATCTTGCCATCATCACTCAGCCTGCAGAGAAGAGGGAAGGGGAAGGAGTGATACACTTCTGATATTCAGAATCACTGCTACTCGCCTCCTATTGGCTCAGCTTAGTCACGTGGCCCCAGCTCGTTGCAAGAGTAGCTGGGTGCATGACTCTTCGCCAGGTGGGACCATGAACTTCAAATTATTAAGAAGAGGAAACAGTTCCCACCACAGCATGGTACTTGAGGCGATTTTAATTTAGGTGGCACGAGTCATCCGAAAACCTTGAATCTAACTCTGAACCACAGAGTGGAAATTGTTGTTTTGTTAATTCTCTTTCCGGGGTATCTCAGCTCAGCACTAGCCTGCTTCAACACTTCTCAGCACTTGCTGATCTCTGTTAACAAGACAGCAGGCCTTAGGCTCAGAGCTTTCCGCAGATACGGGGATTTAATACCCTGAAGATAACAGTATCATTTATCGTCAGGGCACATAATAACGGATTTCTTTTTTTGCGGAGGGGGTAGAGCTGGGTTTTATTAGACATTTTTAGGTGAAATAGTGATCATGTAAAATATATTTAGCTGCAAGGAGTCAAAGCTGAAACGGGACAGGAATTTGGCCTCCAGTGCCCTGTTCAACTTCAAAGTCATCATTTGTTCCCAATAAATAGGTCCCTGCTCCACTAACGCTGCCTACCGAGCACCCCGGCCCTCGGTGACTTACCACCCGTCTCGTTCTCGCCCTGGGCTGGCTCCAGGCTCTGGCCTGCTCCATGTGTCTCTGCCCTATGACCAGTGGGCATCCAGGGCCCGGGACTGGCAGGGTCCACCCGTCCTGTGCGCAGCCCTGCGGAGTGGTGGGGACATGCAGTGTTAGTCTCATGCTGCACACCTGGCCCGCTGCTCTGACCCAGCCCCGCTCCCCAGAGGAGCTGCCACTATGACTCCCGGGGGCCTAGAGTAGAGGAGGGGCAGGGGGGGGGGGGGGCAGGGGGGGGGGGCGTGGTAATTTCCACACCCTCCTCCTGAGCCCAGGAGGCCTAGCTGGGCTGGAATCCTGACCCCACCCCGGCTGGGCACTCGAGGGCAAAGGACCCCGGCACCCTCTGCCTTCCGGTCTGTGAAGGGGGTGACCACGTGCCTCTGAGTGTAGGCTGCACAGTGGGGCTGAAACCTTCGGCGGCTCCAGCCGAGCTCACCTTCATGGCACTCCGCCAGCCCTGAGCCGCTCACCTGTGGAGCAAGGACCCTACATTGTTAAATTCATCAGAGTCAGTGGCGTGGGGCAGGAGTCGGGAGGGGATTTGTCTCCCAGGAGACACTGGGCAACGCCTGGAGATGTTTTCCACTGGCGAGCTGCCCTGGCACCTAGTAGGTGGAGCTCAGGGACGCTGCTGGGTGTGCTAAGGGTCAGGGCAGCCCCTGCAGCAGCGAGCGACCCTGTCAGAGCACCCAGCACATGGGGACTCAGCCAGCGCCAAGTCTCATTCCATTGTTACTTCCATTACCACGAACACGCTCACCCAACGGGTTGGACTCAGATCCAAATCCAGTGTCTGGATTTATGCTGCTGCCCAGACAGCTGGGCAGAAGGGAAGTGCCAAGAGGGAGCAAGAAAAAGCACCCGGGGGGGCAGTGGCCAGGCCAGCTTGGGTGTGGGCTCCCCGCCCATGGTCACGCAAATCCCAGCTGCTCTTCCTCCCCCTGGGGTCCTGGGCAAGTCACTCACTCCTCAGAGCCTGTATCCTATGTAAAGCAGGTCTGTCTCCTCCACCAGACAGCTGCAGAGACCCCGGGCTGCCTCCTGCCCGTCACCCCGGCAAGCCCCTAACCTCTGCGCGCCTGCCCGGGCCATTGTCACGGGATGTGGGGACAGTGTGCCCTCAACCCCTGGCTGCAGGCTGAAGTGAGGGTCCCTGGCCCTTAGGAAGGCTGCCCACAGGGAGCCGCGGGCCTTACGTGCCACACTCTGGGTGCTCACCACGTCTTTCTCTTTCTTCCCTTCCTCTGCACATCAGGGAAGGAGAGCTGCTTTGAGAGGATAATGCAGAGATTCGGCAGAAAGGCCGTCTACATCGTGATTGGCGATGGCGTCGAAGAGGAGCAGGGAGCCAAAAAGGTACGTGTCCTCCGCAGGCCGCTGCGTCCTCCCTGACCTGGCCGGGGCTCCCTTCCCAGGCGCTTTCCTGGCCAGCCCGTTCCCATTTGCAAATCGCAGAAGCATCCTGAGTAATTTCCTTCTGCAAATCCCCCTCTGAGCCTTTGGCTGCCGACCCTGGTCGCCCTGGATGTTTCTGGGGCGACTGCGGAGGGGGGAGCCCGAGACGCCCTGGCAGGGCAGGCCGGCGGGGGGCTGTGCACGTGTGTGTTTTATTTAATACTCACTGATCATATGTTCCAGGAACCCTTCCCAGTTAATAAAGACAGCATTACACTAATGAAAAAGAAAATCCTGCATTTGTGATCTCGGGGCCCGTGAGGAGAAGGGCATGGGGGTCTGGTGGCCGCAGCCCTGATCTGGGAGAAGAAACAGCTGCCAGAGACCTGGGTCTGGACCTGTCAACAGCATCCCAGAGAGCCTGTCACCCCCACCCAGAGGCCTGGGAAATGGGTCGTTAATGTCACAGGGCTTAATTTGGGGGACCTGGTTTCTCCCTTCCCGCGCTGGCAACAGATTCCAAGGAAGTGCAAAACCCTTTGGGGCCTAAGGGGATAACACCCAGGAGAAGAGGGAGGGCTGGGGAAGGGAGCCTGGAAGGCTTGGCATGTACCGTGCCATCTGCCTGGAGTCCCCCCTCGCCCTCCTCCCCGGCTCACAGGCACTCACCCTTCAGCTCAGCTTCAGCACTTCCGAGGCAACAATTCTCCCAGCTGCCCGGCCCTTCTTCGGGGGCTTGTTCCGTCCTGCCACAAAGGAAGGACTTAATGGCCGGTGGCTTCATCACTGGCTGCAGCTGGTGCGTAAGCTGTTAGCTGCGTACCTACTGTGTGCAGCCACAGTTCCAGGCACAGGCCATGAACCCCTGAGTGTGAGGTGAGCGTCAGGCAGGGCCAGGAGGAAAATAGAGCAGGAAACAAGCAGCGACTCGGGCTGTCTGAGCGTAGAGAGTGGCCAGGGCGGGCCTCACTGAAGGTGCCATCTGAGCAAAGACAGGCCTGGGGCAGGTCGGTACCCTGGCCATTGCCAAAGGCCTTGCTTTTAACGTGTATTTATTTCTGGGACTTTGAAAATGAATCGATTTAGAGGGAAAATATTAAGTAATCGTGACAGATGGGCAGGACAGGACCACAGCAGCTGTGGCGAGTCACGTGAGGATTAGCCCGTGATCCCCCGGGGCTTCACGAACACCAGCCCACTGCAGTCTGGTTGGCCAGAAAGCCCAAGGCCCACTGCTGGGGCCCCAGGGGTCTGCCCCAGCCCCTCCCTTTTCCAAGTTCAGACCTAATGGAAATCTCCGCCCTAAGCAATGCCACAGACCAGAACACAGCTTGGCTCCTATCAGAGCTGGGCTGGGCCTGAAGCCCTCGTACCCCTGCACCTGCCCTGTGGCTCTCACCTGGAGAACGACGGCAACGTTCACACACCTAGCTGCTCACCTTACAGAGAGGGTGGTTAGGGCAATGTAGCGAGTGTTTTGAAATGACCCCTTTACTGTAATAAAATGCTACTGGATAACATAATCTCCCTGCCACCATCAGATCCAAAAGGTGGCTAACAGTGGACTGTCAGGACTGGGGGTATGCTTGTCCCCAAAGACCCCGTCATGTGGCTGTGACCGAAAAATGCGGAGGGACTCTGGAGAGCAGGGGCGGGAGCCGTAACTCGGCCCCTCCCAGCTGCTGACCTCCACGGGGAGATCAGAGCACAGCGGAGCACAGACCTTCCCTGACTTACACGCTATCTGCACCCCAGAGGCCATCGTAAGCATGCAGAACATTCTAAGTGACCCATGAAGTGGAGAGCTCAAGCTACTAGGAACAAGTCTGTGCTTACCTGAGTAGCTAGCAGACATTTGAAAATCACCCAGGTCCCAGGGCCGTGGGAGGAAGCAGGAGGAGCCCGCTCTCACCTGCAGGGGAACAAAGCACCATGACGTGAACAACTCACACCTGGAGAAATTTCCACAATGACCCCTAAGGGTCAGCAGGTTCCTCTGAGAGCTGTGGTCATGCTCCACTATGAGGAGCCAGAGATTCTGTGAGCCGCACACCCCACCCCGGCCCTGCTCCCACAGAGCACACCAGCTGGGGAGCACATTCGCCCTAAATCCCAGCTCCGCCATCGCAGAGGGGGCCCCGCCCATGAGTGAGGAAGGCTGAGCCCTGGCGGCTCCTGCCTGATGGATGGGAGTCATTAGCCTCAGCCACCTGACACCGGGGCAGCGTGAAATATGGTGACAGGACCAGGGGCTTGACTGTTCCAGCTGACAGTGTTGTTAATATCTCAGGTCGCTGGGTCATTTGTCTCCACCTCTCTGCAAGTGATAAATTTGCCTGCACTCTGGAGCCGCCGGCCCTGGGCTGGGGGTGCCTGAGACATTCTCTGCCACTCCTGCTCCTTTCCTCCCAGAAATACAAATGAGGTACACTCTAAGGGGGGCCTGACCGTCCCCAGCATCCATCTTTGCAGAGAAAGGGGCACTTGGCCGGATCAAAGAGGGGTGAGGAGCTGGGGCAGTTGGCAGGCATTAACACGATGGCATCTGTTGCCCATAATGGATAATTTTCTGCTTTCCTCTGTGAAAGAGAAAGAGGCAGAAAGGATGTGCTCATTGAGGACTTCACTTGAGAAGTCACCTTCCCTCTGTTCCCCTCCCTCTTTTCATCCCTCCCACAAGTGTCTTGAGCACCTACTGTGTGCTTGGAACCACAGCAGCAGCCATGAATGTGGCTTTGCGAGCTTGACCCCACCACAGGGCCTTTGCACCTGCTGTGTCTTCTGCCTCAACTCCATCCTTCCAACATGTCTGCAAGTTTTCTACCTTCTCATCCTCTGGACCCTACTAAAGATCACCCCTCTTTGGACTCCTCCCCTGACCAGCCATCAAAAACCAGCACCCTCCTCCCAATTGTTTCTACCCTACTCCCTTAATTTGTCTCCTTCACGGCACTTTTGAGGAGACGAAAACACGCTGTTTGTTCCCTGTGATTCCAGTGAGAGCCTGTTGTGCCCAGCCTGCAGGCCGGCCATGCAGGGGGTGCCAGGAGGCTCTGAGGGCAGGGCGGCAGGCATAGGCCCTGAGGGGTGCCTGGGGACTGGGAGGCAGGCGGGCAACTGAGCCTCCCAACCGCCCTAGTCTTTATGCTCCTTCTCGGGGCTCTCGAGTTCTCTCGGGGTCTTACCTCTTCTGCAGTCATGGTGCTCATCTCCTCGTAGTGGTTCTCCGGCAGCCATCCTCCTGGCTGAGTGACGCTGCCCTGCAGCCCCGCCTTCAGGCTCAGATGAACCCACTTACGCATACCCAAGCCCATGCTCCAGGTGCCCACACTCAGGCATGCGTGCCCGAGCCCACACGCCCAAGCGCCTCCAGCGTTAGCACAATCAAGGCCACAGGTGGTAGCCGCAGAAGCTAGGGGCATCAAAAGCCTGACCATTCACTCACCCTAGAGAGCCCCGCGAGTGTGCCGCCCGGGGGCACAGCCGTGCAGAGTCCCTGCCCTCCAGCTCATTTCCTTGTCTCAGGACCCTTGAGCACATCTGCAAAATCCCTTCAGCTATGTGGACATCTTTGGGGGGCTACTGTTCTGCCCACCACAGACCAGAACGGTAAAAGCGAGCGATGATAAAAAATGCTGGCACAGTAGTAGGGCAGAGCCCCCAGGAAAGGGCTTGATGTGCTCCAGGAACCTAAGGGCACCTCGCAGCTTCTACCCCGGTAGGAGTCGGACCTACAGGCTGCGTCCCACAGGCCGCAGGCACCATGTTTCTGTAGTAAATAATTTAAGGCCAATGGCTGTTAACCTACTTAATGATGGCGTAAACGTGTGCTCACCTCACAAGATTAGAAGTAGCTGCGCCCCAGGCTGTTTCGGTGGGCCAAAAATAACCCAGCCTCCATTTAATTTTTCTCTGCTCTTCTAAACATCTTTGGCTTCTTAATTTCTCATTTGTTGCCTCATGGCCTCAAAACAGCTACCATGGCTCCAGGCATCACACATTAACGTGATCACATCCAGCAGGATGGGAAAGTCAAGGCCAAAGAGTTCTCAGGCGCTTCTCTCTAATCGTGGGGGGAAGCCTTCCCCAAAGCCCCCGATCAGCATCTTCATTGGCTTCAGCAGACCACAAGGCAGAAAGGATACAGGCCACATCCCTGAAAAACAAGGCTGGGTTTGCCATGGCTCACTTAGATGCTAAATCCTCCACATCTGAGCACAGTGCTGCCCACTTCTAAGCTCTGGGTGGCTACTAGGTAGGCAGCCAGTGGTTAAATATTCCAGTGACTGAAAATGCCATCTGGTTCCTTCTCTGGAACCAGATGAGGCCCCCTCGAGCCTCAGCCTCCTCACCTGTGAGATGAGATGAACACAGCGCCTTTCTCTGAGCTAGCAATTAGGGTAATGGGGAAATGCAGTGGCTTGTTGAGCAGCCCGCCTGGCACTCAGTGGGCACTTGGGTGTTCATGATGTGGTGTGGCTGCAATGAGGCTGACTGGCCGGCAGTTTCACTTCAGTGACATCGCCCCGCCCTTTTCTCTTCCCCCATTTGGAAGGGTGGTTGTGTTTTTGTTTTTTGATTTTTCATTTGTTCTTGTGGTGGTGGTTTTGTTTTTTGTTTTTCAGGGAGTTTGTGTTCTTTTTTGTTTTATTTTGTTTTGGGTGATTCAGTGCAATGATAAACATCAAGCACTTAGCACTGTGTCCTGCTCAAAACGTAGAGTGAAAGAAGTGGATTTGAAAGATGGTTCTTTAAACACTGTCTGTCACAGACTTACACAACAAAAGCCAAACTGCATCATGACAGACACACGGCCCCCCTCTCCTCCCTCCCTACACATGCGCACGCAGCTCCCAGCCCCCTGAACCTCAGAATCCCTGTCCATCCTCCTTGGTTCAGACACGCTCCCTGTAACACTCTCCTTCAACAACCTGCCATGACTCCCCGGGCTCAGCACCCCTCCACCGGACACCTGTCGGCCCCCCACCATTCTGTCACCAAATGAGGGGCTGCTTCCCCTGGCTGGTCCCCGTGCCATTTCACCGCCTGCCTTTCTGATTTTTTCGTCATCTTTCACAGTCTTATTATTTTGAAAACTACTGGGAACTCCCCACACTCCCCACACTCCACGTCCCCACATTCACCCTCCATGTCCATGTCCAGTATGTCCTGCAGCCTTCCTGTCTCTGGCCTGTATTTTGCAGGTATGTCCCGTGTTCGTGCACACAGCCCTAACACTGGCGGTGCTCGGTCATGCCAGGCCCCGCGTGGGCCCACAGCAGCTCTGTACAGAGGTACATGCCTGTGGCTCCCCACTCGTGGCGCAGAGCAGAGCCTGGCACGCAGCACCTGCCCGTGCAGTAGCTCACTGATTCACGGCGGCCAGTGGTCTCCTCGCGGCCACTGTCAGCATCAGCTCCCCTCCACCCGCTTGCTTCACAGGCTCCCGCTTGTGACCGCACCGGCCCGTTCTCTGAATGCTCCCCCTTCCATCAACGCACACAACAGGGTTGAGAAGGGTCACGCTAAGGAGGCAGGGCAAAGCATCCCTGCCCCAGAGAAAAGCAGACCAAGCAAGCCACAGAAAGAGCGCACTTCTGCCGGCCCCTCACCCCAGCCGCCCCCTCTTGGGCCAGCTCTGTGGGTCCAGATGGAGCTTGGCAGTAGTCAGGAGACTCACCTGGCCGAGGCTTCTCAGAGTGGCAGGACTAGAACAAACAGCCTAAGACCGAGATCACGCTGAAAACGCAGCCAGGGAGCAGGCAAGCGGCGAGGGCAGGGCCGGGCCCAGGTGGTCAGACCGGGGTCCAGAGAGGTGGTCACTTGGCCACCCAGGTGGGCACGGCCAGGTCAGCCGCTGCAGTCACCTGACGCCCTCCCGCTTGGGAGACGCCCCCACCCAGGCTAACTCGTCCTGACTAACAGCCAGGCTGCTCCCAGGGCCGGGGTGCTGGGCTGGCTGGGCCGGGCTGGTTTTGGGGGGCCGTGGGGCCTGGAGCGGGGCCTAACCGCGCGGCCGGTGTTCTGTGTTCCAGCACAACATGCCCTTCTGGCGGGTATCCTGCCACGCGGACCTGGAAGCCCTGCGGCACGCGCTGGAGCTGGAGTACTTATAGCCAGGGCCCGCCGGGCCGCACCCACGGGCCGCGCCCGCCAGAGGCTGGACACCGCGGGGGCCCCGCAGCCCACAGGGGTTTCCGGTGACCAGAGCTGCCCTTTCAGCCCAACGAGAGTCCGAGGAGCAGAGCGCCCAACCGCGGCTTTGGAAGACTGAACTTTGGGGAGAGGGGCTGGCTCGAAGTCCAGACTTTTCTACAAGACTCGAACAAAAGCAAGGGCTGGCTGATGCGGAGCAGCGCTCGTGAGAGGCGGGACAGCGCACTGTTTTTTCTTCCTTTTTAATTTATGGACTAAGCTCGTTACTCTGGTAAAACGCCCCGTACCGGTGTGGTCGGTTTTCTTGGTCGTTGGTTAGGTTTTGTTCTTCAAGCTGGCGTGCAGCGCTCTGCTCCAGGATGAACTTCGGGGGGACAATCATTGGTTCTCTGGACGTGCGTGAGGGAGGCGCCTCGGGCCTCGGGGGGATTCTTGCTTGTTTCTGTTTTTAAGGACCTGACCTGTTGTCACGTGGACGGTGCGCCTGCCTGACGCTGCCATCTTGTTTTCTAGGACGCGGGAAGCCTGGGAGGAGGGTACTTTGTGACGGATCAAAGGCATTAAATAAAGCCAGGTTTACATTTTGAAGTGGAGAGGATGTCGCGTGTCGTTAGCGCTCTTGCAGCTTCGGAATGTGTGGGTCTTTCCAGAGAGCTTTTCTGTCGCAGAAGAATAAAATCCAAATCCCGTGTGGGCTCAAGCGAACATTTAAAAAGTGACTCCAGCATGTTAAGGGCTAAAAATCATTTTTCTCATAGTAGACTTCCATGAGAAACGCTAGCCATAGAATTTCAAACACCCAAAAAAAAGAATTTCAGGCATCCACATAGAAAGAGATGTTAAGCAAAGCAGCTAAACTTTCCCCTTTGACCCTGATATTTACCTGTAAGATGGGCTGCTGCTTCTCTGTGTGATAACTAAATGTCAAAGACTGGGCCTGCAGAAGCCAGCAGTCTGCGATATAAGTGGTGTAGCCTGAATTCTAGATGATTCTGAGCTACCAGGTGCAAAACCAGTGTCTTTCTCATCTCTGTGTATGTGGTACTGAGAAGGGTCAGACACAAAGATGACACTAAATGCCTGCTGGACAGTGGGTGGGTGATGGGTGTGTGGGCAGGTGACTGACGGTAGGTGGCTGAGTGGATGGCTAGCCAGGTGACCGGGAGCTAGAACTGCACGGTCATCAGCTGTTTGCCTTTATTGTATAGCCAGGAGTGGAGTGTCTTGCAGCTCTCTGGAACACTCCTAGAAGTTGAGTAACAACTGTTGAGGGCCACTCCGAGGTGATCGCCAATTGCATGTGCTCTACATTGTTGTGTAGGTTCAATTTAATTTTTTGTACCAGTTTCCCCTGACCACCGGGCTTTCCCCTCCCCTTCCCGCTTAACCTCAGAGCCCACGTGGTATTTATTAATGTCACTAGTTTTGATATTTTACTTTATCAATTCAGCCTCTGATGTCCAGTATTTGTTTCACTGGTTCTGGCTTGCTGTTGTCAGACTGATTTCGACTTAGGAAATCATTCATTCACATTACCAACAACTCGAGGAGGCATTTCTTCATCAGATACTCAGGAGCATCTATGTATCTGGCACAGCAGACACAAATTCGAATAAAAATTTGTAAAAAAAAAAGTTGCTACATGTCACCGCCTTTTTAAAACCTTAGATGTATATATAACACAAGCATTCCAGTGAAATTCATATCACAGATAAGAGCAAGTTAGTCCTGCAAATACGTAGAGCTTTCAGAAACAACCACCAATTAAAAAATTGTCAAATGGCCAACATTTTTTAATGCAACTGGTTCTTAAACTTTAAAAAAGATGTTCAGTCTAACTCATAATAAATGAGAAATGCAAATATATTGAGGTATTTATTTTCCATATCAACCTGACAAAACACATCAATAAAGATTGTCCACATGCTGACATGTCACACCAGGGAATATTGTGGGTGTAAAAACAGAGCAAACTTGAGAACGACTCCCAAACAAATCATGAAAAAAGGGCTGACAGCAAACGGAGGCATCTCCCGGGAGGCCCTTCCCGCCTCCCCTGTTCCACCCTCTCCTGATATCTGACCGGGAGTCTGTCCTGCTCCGGAGGTTCCTGAAGGACCCCAGACAGTACAAACCTTCCGGGCCGGTTGCTTCATGCCTCGGTTTGGAGAAGCCACCGGCTCGTGGCAGGGATCTGTAGTGCATTCTGGGTAAAGCAGCAGCACCCGGCACGCCAGGCGCACTCTTCACTCCCCACTTCCCCCTTGACCATTTTCCTGCTGCTTCCCATCGCCCGCTCGGCGCCGACGCGGCAGTGCTCACCAGTGGCCACCAGAGGGCAGTGCTACCTCGCAGCTGGCAGAGCCGCCCGCAGGTGTCACCTGAAGTTGGACCAGAATCCGCCATGCAAGGCGCCCGCGAGTTCCAGAAGTATCGCCGTCAGACCGGGGATTGCTTCCATGAAATGGCGGCCGGTGAACGATGTCTTCAAGCCTGGAGTGGACAGGTGGAGTGCTGTGGTCACAGCGGGTGCAGGAGCCCGTGGACACTGGGGCTCCAGAGCCTCTGGGCTGGGCAGTGCCCCTCACTCCTCCAGCTCTCAACATAGCTGCTCCCTTTTTTTTTTTTTAACTTATTTATGCACACAGAAGTGGGGTACAGGCCAGAGGTGCAGGGGCGGTGAGAGAATTCACCAGAGACAGAGTGGAGAGCAGAACAGGCCAACTGCCAAAGTACCCTGCTGAGGGGGCAGCGGGGGACGGTCAGGAGCGGTCTGCCGCGCCATGTGCATCACCCCAGAGCGGGGATCGAACTCGTGCTGAAGTCGCTTTAGCTTCTTAGTGCTGTGTTTAACCCACTGTGCCACCAGCTGCTGCTGTTTTTAGTGGTGTGATTGTAATCACAAAGTTGTTTCCCAGAAGTTGGGATTTGTTTTCACATCCATAAATTTGTGGATCACCATCACTGGGGTGGTGATAACCTGCTTCAGACAAACACTGGTGGTTGTTTTAAATTCAGCTACTGAACATTTGGCTCAAATGAGTATCTGCTGTGGGTGAGGAGGGTGCCTTCCCCCTGCAGCCCCACCCTCTCAGCTCTCCTCATTCGCAGGTGGCTCTCCTCATTCGCCGACCTGCTGGCTACCTGGTGCTGTGACAATGGAAGCTGTGGTCACAGCCGGAACTCTTTGCAGTGATCAGCTGGAGGTGCACTGTGGGGGTTTGCAATACCTGCTCAGCCTCCACCTTTCTCTCTGATGGGGGCTGGTCCACCTCCCCACAACCACGTGTGGTCTTTGGGGTAAAGTGAGGTAACAGAAAACAGGTGTGAGCGCCCAACAAAGGTCAAACAATTGAACTTTCAAAATGAGACATCACTTAGATCACTCCCACCTGAGGCAAGAGCCCTCACGCCTGTGGCCTGGGGCCAGTCCCATCTGGGCATGATTCTTCAGCAAACCCAGAGTGGGGTCACATCAGGGTGAACAACCCACTTTCTGATATGGCTCCTGCCCAAGGCCCAAGGGGAAACCAGCTCACTGCACAACACCTCAAGCCAAGGGCCTCCCAAGGACAGGGAGCTCACGCGCACCCCAAGATACCTTCTGGCCCTTGTCTTGCTCTGGGTCTTGCCAAACTCCCCTATCCAGGGGCCCTCGCCCTACTCACCCTCTGGCCTGCTGAGCGCCCCCTCTCCGCCCCTTCCCGAGAGCGCTGGGTGGCCGGCATTTGTCCACCAGAGCGGCCTTGCAGACACTCCCGAGTGGCTGAGAATGTGTCTCACAGCACAGTGGAATGACAGGCATCTACCTACCTGCACACTCCCGGCAGCTCCGGCCTCCGGCCGGCCCCAGCCCACCCGAGATTCCCCTGTGGCCCTTCCTCCTCACATCAGCAAACCCCAAGGAGCTGGACTTTTCTGGAAAGCGTCCTGGGGGCCCCTCTGGTCACCTGCCACCAGCGGGCCCTCTCCTGCACAGCCCAACCCTGGAAAAGCGCACATCCGAGGACCACCAAGCCGTTTTTCCAAAACAGTTTAATTAAAAAAAGGTGAAGAATCTGAAAAACTGGGGGGCGGGGGAACCCAAAAGAGCATACCGTGAGAGTCCACTGGCTCAGTCACAAAGAAACACCATCATCAAAAAAGATATTTAAGTTTAATACAAATTTTATACAAAGAAAATGTGAAAAAATACTTCCATATGCTAAAAGCAATTATGCTTCACAAATAAGGCCAGCTAGGCTATTTTTTTTTTTTTTGACAACTGCAATTCACAAACGCTCTTTCCTCTCCCACGTCCTTCTAATATTCTTTTTTAATTTCTTCTCTAATATGGGTGAACTAGCTGGAAACTGTACAGTTCGCATCCTCTTATCAACAATGAAGAGAAAGTAAACGAGACTGAAATGTACAACAAAATGTACTGGAATGATATCGTACAATTAATTTTCTCATATACATACGTCACCTTTTGCTTTGTTCAATGCTTTTTGTTTTACACAACATACAGAATGGTGCGTAGCAGCCCCCGAGTCCCGGCGCGCGGCCGGCCGCTTCCTCTCACACGGCCCTTGTGTCATGCTTACAGAAAAACGCAAAACTCCATCCTATAAATAATACGGACATGCTTCCTCCGGGCCCCCGCGGGTCCGGCGGGGTCCCCGCAGCGCGCGCGCGGCGCACACGGCGCATCCACAGGGCCCCCCAAGGCAAAGCCCGAGCACTGTGTCCGAGCTTCTGCCGCGGAGCCCGGCGGGCAGGTTTCCGATTGCTCCGGTCAACAGGGGCAGAATTTCCTTTTCCCTTCCAGGAGGAGGAGCAAGATGGTGGAACTCACCGGAATCAGCGAGCTGCTCCCTGGCCTCGGGGTGCAGAGACTTGCCTTTTAGAGCCTAGTGATGCACTCGGAAGGGGGCTGATGGCTTGAGTGAGGTGCCCGCGCGCCCGGCGTGCACCCCGAAAACGGAAAACAGCTCACTGTCCCCGGGCACCTGGGCCCAGGGGACAGCCGGACTGACCTACCACTGTCCCCAACACCAAAACATCCTTTTTGGTGTTGGGGGTGTTTTTCTAAATTGTTTTTTTTTTTTTATAAGTTAAAGTCGATACAAATATAAAAAGAGGAAGGTCCTCTCGGTTCGGTGACATCCACAAATTGTACATTATTTACATGTAAAGCACAGGCTTTGTGTGGGCCGACGCTAATGCTGGACGCTGTAGTGTAGGGGCCCTCGGAGCTGGCGCGGCGCCAGGTCTGAGGTGTGGAATCTTCAAGTCTGATGGGGGAGGTTCTCTGGTCTTCCTCTGCTGTCTTGTGTTCCCGGTGTCCTGGTTTGAATTTTCCTGCAGGGGGCGGGTGGCTCGGCGCGCGTGGCCCTAGTCCCAGAAGGTGTCCAGCCGGGACTCTTTGGGGAGAAGACTCTTGGCGCTGGTGCCGGCGTTGTGCTCCGAGCGAGCCGACGCGCGCTTCTCGTCGCTGCCGCTCCAGCTGGGCTTACTGCTCCGCGAGTGGTCTGCGGAGGGAGCCCAGAGTCACGGTCAGCGTGCCCTCCCTCCCGGCCCTGGCCGCCCCTCCAGCCGCCCACACCCCGGGCCACCTGCCCCTCCCCACCGGAGTGAAAAAACTTCGCCACACACCTCCCTGAATGTGAGCTTGTGGAGTCGAAAGTAGAACTTACTTTGTTAGAATTTAACCAGAACCGGCCTCCCTGGGGGCGCACGGGGTTAAGCGCAGCGCTGTAAAGCCGTCTGCACCCACTGCGTCCATCTCCCGCCAGGGAGTGACCCACATGGCGCGGCAGACCTCTCCTGTCCTGCCCACTGCTCCCCTCAGCAGTGTATTTCAGTCCATCCGCCTGCTCTGCTTCCCACTCTGTCTCTGGTGAGTCCTCTCACTACTCCCCCCAAACCTCTGGCCTGTACCCCAGTTCTTGAGTGCATAAATAAATCTTTTTCTTTTTCTTTTTTTTTTAAACAGAACAGGTGGTTGGAAAAACAGGTGCCACACTCACAGTGAAGTTTAGTGCGAAAGGCACTGAAACTGCCCAGGAAGGCATCTTTTGGGCGCTCCTGGGACTGGGCACCTTAGGACTTGGTAATCGCCCCTGGCACTTGGACCTTAGCACCAAAATTCGGCCATTCATCTGCTGGCATTAATGGAGTTCCCTAACTGATCTCCACAGGTAAGTCGGAAAAACAGGCTCGTTAGCAAACCGCCCGATATAAAATACAGGCAGGGTGGTCAGTGCCCCCTGGTACCTCACCTCCCGGTCCGCCCTCAGCCCCCTCCCAAGGACTCCTGTGGCACACAGCAGTTTGAAAACCCCTGCCCAGAAGGCGGGGACCCCTGCCCGCAGAGTGAGGGCGCCCGCCAGCCACCGGGGGGCGCCATACCGGAGCCTTGGTTGGAGCCCAAGAGAATGGAGGACGGAGTCTCCCTGGAGCCGGAGAGGTCGAGGGTCTGGAAACAGAACAGAGAAAGATTCAAGGTACTGGGGTCCATGCAACCCCCAGGGAAGCCTACTGGGGTGCGGTGCTCTATCTCCACTCACAGGCAGGTAGATAGTGCGGGGCTTCTGGAACATTCGGTTTCTCCAAATTTACTGACCTACCCACCCCCCAGATTTTTATTCAAAAAAAAAAAAAAGTATTACTTCAAAATCATATTCACATCATCTTCTTACAAGGCAAGAAAATCAATGAAAGCAAAGGATTTTTACTGATGGGCTTCATTTTCTACTCTTCACAGCACAAGAAACTGTGGCTGAAACTAAGCAATCGTCTTGGCATCTGCTGTCCCCACGTCCCCTGCGCAGGCATGGGGCTAGAAGGGGTCACCTTCCCCCGTCAGTAACTTGGGTGAAAGTGACTGAGATGCGGTGGGGGCAGGGAAGCGTGGGAAGGGCGCCCGGGCTATGGGGATGGCGCCGCGTGAACGGGGAACTCCCTGGACACCAGACCGAGTGGGCAAAGCATACAATGTATGGCAATAAAGACTGACGTTAAAAGTACATAAAATTAAAACAAAAAAAATTGAAATACCAGATGGTTTCACTCGTAGCAGGAGCGTGGGGGGTGGGGGGAATAATAATTATAATAATAACAACAATAACTATACTATTGAACAACTGTTACCAGATGGCACAAGGGTGAACTGGTGACAGGAAGGCCACGGGGATTATAACTGAGATGGGAAAAGGACAAAATGATGTAAACCTAAACTATTATAATTTTTAAAAATTATAAAAGGAGGGCCCTCCCTGGTGGCGCAGCGGGTTAAAGCACAGCACTGAGAATCTAAAGCCGCTTCTGCATGAGTTCGATTCCCGCCTGCCCCGGAGGTGACCACATGGCGTGGCAGACCTCTCCTGACCCGCCCGCTGCTCCCCTCAGCAGTGGACTTTGATCATCTGCCTGTTCTGCTCCCCACTCTGTCTCTGGTGAAGCCTCTCACCGCCCCTGAGCCTCTGGCCTGTACCCCAGTTCTGTATACACAAATAAATAAATCTTTAAATAAATAAAAAAAATTATAAAAGTAAATAAATTGACGGAGGGGAAATTTCGAGTTCAGGTCCTCTGTCACGCTGGGCACCGCCCAGTGGGCTCCACCGGGCTGCCCTCACCGCTGCCACCCCGGCGGTGCCCAGCACGCACCAGGTCCGCGCCCCTCCGGCCCGCCGCCCCACCCGGCCCCCGGGAATGGGGCTGAGCCCCACAACAACGGGCTTTCAGGGTGGCGGATGGGGCGGGCCTGAGGCGCCAAGGGCGTGTCCAGGTCAAGGCCGAGGGGCACTCACCGAGCCGCTGTCCTTGCTTTTCTCGGCCAGCGTCTCCTTGTCTTTCGAGGCGCTGGCTGTCTCCGGAGGGGCTGCCTGGGTGCTGGAGGGGCCCCCCTGCGCCGGCTTGTTCAGTGTTTCTGTGTTCGCCTCGGCATCCGCTTCCTGCTGGGGGGCGGTGGCTGCGGCACAGGGGGAACAGGCGTCAGCGACTGTGAGGCTTCGGGAGCCCAGCGGCCAGGGGCGGAAACCCGACTTTGTGTAAGGAGAGGGGGTACTTTTCGGGCCCTCCCTGGCGGCACAGTGGGTCGAAGCCAGCACTGTGAGGCTGTCTGAGGCCGCTGCAGCAGGGTTCCAGCCAGCCAGGGAGCTGACCCATGTGGGCAGCAGACCCCCATCTCCTGCTGCCCCCCTCAGCAGTGTGTTCAGTCCATCTGCCTGTTCTTCTCCCCACTCTGTCTCTGGGGAGTCCTCTCAACCCCCAAACCTCTGGCCTGCGCCCCAGTTCTTGTATGCGTAAAATAAATCTTTTTAAAAAACAGCTAACTTTTAATAGCTTGATCCAGATTTTAGGCTAAAAAGCATACTGTACCAATCACTCCTAAAAGGCAAATTCTTAGCTCAACAGTGTACCCGCTCCGACACCCTGAAACCAGCTTGCCCCATATTAAGGGATTCAAGGACTGGGGACAGGTTAGTTCCAAACTAACCACTTTGCTTCACAGAAGAAAAAGGAATCCACCCTTCTTCCACGCTGGGCACAACAGTTTTGGGCCAAACTCTCACCATGGGTGGGGGAAGATAGGGAGGCCCCCCCATGGGGGATGGGTGAGGGAGACACCCCTGTGGATTGGGGTGGCGCACCCCACATTGTAACGAGCTCAGCCGCATCCCTGCCTTCAACCCACTAGATGCGAGCAGCAGCAGCCTCCTTCACACCTCCACTGCCAGTGTCTTAGGGTGAACAGGACCCCCCAAGCCCTCCCACCCACTGCCATGGCCCCACAATGAATACAAGGCCAAGCTCCCGACCTGCTCCCCACGTCCCAGTGAGGGGTCCGCAAGCTGGGTGGGTGAGAGTGGCGGGGGCTGGGGGCTGGGCGGGCACCACCTCGAGACAGTACCTGACTGGGTGCAGGACTTCATGTGCTCCGGCCAGTGAGCCTGCTGGCAGGGGTAGTCGCAGTAGCTGGTGTTCCAGCAGCAGTAGAAGATGGCCTCCTTCCTGCAGTTGGCGCACCACTGCTTCTTCTTGGTCTCATCCACCGCCTGCTGCTTCTCCAGCTCCAGCTGCTTCTTCACCTCAGCGATGAGCCGGTCCCGCTCCTGCTCCAGGCTCTGCCGCATCTCGGCCATGGTAAGTTCTAGAGCGGAGATGGGAAGCCAGCTCCGTGACGCGCAGCACGTGGGCTGGGCCACAGGCCAGAAGGGGCACACAGGTGCGAATCCTGCTCCAAGATGCCCGAGGTGAGCCCCGCCCCCAGGTGAGAAGCTATGGGGTCGTCATCTGCAAACCCGTCTGGTCATCAGAGCTGCCGGTGGTAATGAATGTCAGGTGCACAGTGGCGTGACTCCGGGAAAGCCTCAAACCACGCCGCATCGAGCTCATCTTGAAATGGATCATTAGTTTAAGCCGTTTTATCGTATCAACCAAATACCTGCTACATGCAGGTGATGTTCTAAGCACGTTATTAACTTATTTAACCTTCAGTCAGTGAGACAGGTGCTATTTACAGCCCTTTCATAGTGAGGAAACTGAGCACCAGCTACCGACGGGGATGGACGGGAGCTGCCCATGTAGGGTTTCATGCCCTAAAACAGAAACTCCCAGTGGCTCAGTTTACTGAGATTTCACTCATTTTATTTCCAATAATACGTCCATTTGCGATGTACCCAGACGTGGTCTGCACACCAAGACAAAGGAAAATAAATGGTTGTTCAATTCTTTAAAATCCATCTCCTGGACTTAAGGGTACCTCTCCTTTCCCCACCGAGAGAAAGGCGGGTGGGGAGACCAGGAATGAAAAGCCCTTAACCACAAGAAAGGCAAAACCATCCAGGCCAGACAGAGAGGCTCCTTCACCTGCAACCTGCCTGGAGGCGCCTGCAGGCCCTGCAGCTCAGGATGTCCAAGGTGTGTTTTTTTTTAACCAATACTTGGCCAATTCGTTAAAAATGAGATTTTCTGTATAAAAAGATTCCTCAGCTTACCAGAAAAACAAGAGGCAACAACCCCCCGCTCCACGAGGCTTCGCGGCAGCCACGGGCCATCAACAGTCTCACCTGTGAACAGGGGCATACCCGGGCGTGCCGCCCTCACAGAGGTGAGGTTTCAGCCTCACTCCGAGGCTCAGGGGGTTCTGAAAGCATCTCTGTAGCTTTGGGGAAGGCGCCTTAACCACGTCTACAGAGTAGGAGCGTAACAATCCACCTGATGCAGGGACCCACAGAACGGCTCACCCCACGCAGAGGAACAATCCACAAAATTGTCCAAATGCCCAGCACACGAGGGCAGAGAGGCACAGCGTGGAGCCAGCGTGCCCAGAGAGCATCGGCTGTGTGACCCGAACAGCCTAACATAGCTGTGCCTTGGGCTAACAGAGCCTTCATGCTGGAAGAATCCAATTCAATCATGAAAAACCCTGTAAATCGGCTCCTGGAGCACGGGTCAGCCCGCAGTAGCGGCCACCACGGTGGTCATTACTGAAGATGGGCCCCCAAATGCTTCTGCGCTGCCTTGGCTTCTGCAGATTCTGTGGTCTCTCTCCCCTGGGAAAACCCTCCTCCCCTCCCTCTGACCCAGTTCACATCAGATCCAGAGGTTCAATTTCAACCCCCAGTTCCCCCAGTCCAACTCGCCAGGTCTTACCCAAGTTGTGTTTCATTTCGGAGAGCTCTTGCTGGTGCAGCCACTGAAGCTTCTCAATCTCGATCCTCAGCCTGCGGATCTGGAAGGAGGGAGAGGAAGCCTTCGGCGGCATGCCGGCGCTCACGGCTCCACTCTCGCAGGGGCCCAACGTCATCAGGCTGAGTGGAGGCGCGGCGGGCTGCCCGAGAGGCAGCAGAGGGCTGAACCCACTGCACAGGAATCGCTTCTGAAAACCAAGCGCAAGCTGTCCCGTCACTGCCAAACACTGGCTCTAGGACGAGCCACTTGGAGTGACAACAAGGTGATTGCCACAGTAAACATGGAGCTTCGCTGTCAATATTACCCTAAAATAATTTATTGTCTTAGGTGGGGCCCATGGTCATTCATCTACAACCCCAAAACCTGACACCTTTGAAAACCAAAGGATATTTTTGACAAGAGGGTTAATCTTGAAGCCAAACACACCGGGGAGGCGGGCGAGGGGATAAACAGCCTGAATGGACGAGACTGTTTATGGGGTCTAGCAACGTGTGTGATCCTCAGCTCAGACTTGCCTCCTCCCGCTCCCAAGCACACTGCAAATTCTGGAGATATCCTGGGTGTCGCAGTGCGGTGTAGGGAGGGCTTGCTCCTGGCATCTGGTGGGTGGGGGCCAGGGGAGCTGCTAAACACCCTACACGGGGCAGGACACACCTCCACAGAGCACCACCTGGCAGTGTCAACAATCGGTCACTGCAGAAATGTTGTATGTAGTCATGGGAGGGACTGCAAATTACTCTTGAAAATCTGAGAAATTCCAGCATACATCTGGACGCAAGGTCTCAGTGAGAAGTGCTGGATCCATCCTTTCAACCACCGGCCAGTTTCTCAAATTAACAAGGAAGGAAGCAAGGTAGCAGAAGCAGGTATCGCTAAAGCAACGTTGGCCCGTTCTGCGCGAGATCCCGACAGGATCCTCCAGGCGGTCATATTTGCAAAAACATCCAAGTGGGTTCAGGGGGTCTTGCAACCCTCCCACGCACACTGCTCCCAGGTGAGGCCCATCAGGGCACCAGGCCGGACACTCTCTTCCGGGAGCTGCCATCCCACCTGGTGTCCCGCTTCCCTTTCAATGACCTCAACAAACCCTGCCTGGCTTGCAGTGAGGCAGAATGGGTCACCGCCTCACCGAACACTCGGCCCCCTAGACAATCGCTTAATTGTGGAGGCGCGAGAGATGACCCTTGGGCCAGGATCGGGGACATAATCAAGTCAGGCTTATGGAAACGATCAAGGAGTCCGTTTACGGGAGCTGGAGGAACTGCCTTCCGGGGCCACCTCGGGCTCAGAGCGTCGCCCTGCCAGTGTTCTCACTGAAGGAAGGAGCCCAGCGGCCACCGAGCGGAGCTGGATCCCACAGGCATGTGCAGGGAAGCCCATCGCATCAAGCCCGTAAGAGGCTCTGAGCAAATCAAGAATTAAAATCAGCGTCGTCTCTGACCTCGGCTATGGTGCTTCCGGTAGTGTTTTTAGAAAGATCGTTGTAGATCTCTGTCATGGTCCCTTTTATTGCATCCATCATCTGAAAGAGAAACAAAACGACGCGGGGATCAGTTCCCTGGAGCTTTTTCTAGATGACATACATCTAAAATTTACCTGTGTAAAAGCCACTGTTCTCAACGGGGAGGCGGTTTGGCTCTTCAGGCACTTCGATTGTCGTGACTGGTGGGATGATGGGGTGTTACTGGCACCCAGCAGCTGGAGGCTGGGGGTGGGGGGAGCTAAACACCCTATGGCCCAGCATATGCCCCCAGGAGACAGTTCCCCAGACTAAAATGTTACTAACACCAAGCTGAGAAACTTGGGTGTAAACCAGGGCAGGAATCACCCCGCGACTCCCACCCGAGCTCAGGGAAGATGTTCACCGTGGTGGTTTCCATAGCCCCAGGCTACACTGGAAAGGCTGACGTGGGCCCAAGTGATTTGATCTGACCAGCTTTGTGGACGAGGAAAGGGCTGTTTTTATGGTCTTTCCTCTTTAAAAACAAAATAAGCTTGGTTGCGCTCTCACTCATTCACCCACTGACGCCCCATTCAGTGGTTTCTTAGTCTATTCGAGTTGCCCATCCATTGCCGTAATGAATTTCGGGACTTTCTATTACCTGGGAAAGAAACCCCACCCCTCCTTGGCCTCTCCCGCCAGCCCCTGCCAATGCCTCTCTCTGCTCTATCTCCGTGACCCAGCTTCACCTGGAGATGCAGCACAGACACGCCCCTCGGCCTCGGTCCTTCTGAAGATCCAATCTCACAGCCCACATGTGCACAGGCCCCCAGGAAAGGCCCTGGCCAGGACACTGTGACCTGTCCAATGTATTTTCCATCTTCTTTTTCTTTAGCTAGCTCACCCCTGGAGGCACTATGCACCGGGCTTCTCTGGGAAGTGAGATCCTTTGCAAGACCAGTTCCCTTTCTACCTCCCCCTGGCTGGCTGAGCCCTCCCCATCAAGGAGAAAGCAGAAGGGCAGGAGACCCAGCGAGGTCCTCAGGCCGGGCCTGGCTGCCTGTTTCCTGAGTCCTGTAGTTCGCTGCCACTCGGTAAAAAGGCAGAAGCCAGAGCAGCGTCCTGCGGATGCGGGGGGCTTGTCCCCCACTCCCTACCAGCAGGCGCCCCTCCAAGCCTTGGCTACCCCGTGTAGAACACAAGAACGGACCTGTGCCCCATGGGGTGCGCACGAGGGCTGAGAACATCTTCCGCAAGATGAGGTGTTCTCAAAGAGATGCCCGCTTGTTTTATTTTCACCAACAGTAAACCTGCATTCACCCCAACACAGGGAGGAAAGGGTTAAGACTTTCACTGCCAGTCTGCTGCAGGGCCACCCCCCGCTGCACACTCGGGGGGCCCACACAGCCTGACCCTCAGAACCCCGACAGGCCTCCAGAGCCCACTCGCCAGCCACCTCGACTGAATATATCCAAAGGCTAAATAAACTGCTTTGCGCCATCTCGACTGAATATATCCAAATGCGAGGGAACTTTAGACAGTGGGCAAAACTCAATATACGAGGAATGCAACGATGGCACAGTCCATTGGAAGGAAATCGTGGCTCTGGCATGAGAACTCCGTGTGCATAAAGCACGCTCCCCTCCATTTCATTTTCACAGATTCCTCCATTCTGCTGTACTAGTCAGGGAGCAGCAGAAGGTAAAGGAAAAGGACTGAGAAAACCCGCCAGGCCTGGCCACCAGCGCCTCGGTGTCCTCAGCTGTAAGTCGGAGCTTGGGTCAGTCAGCAGGAGGTGACCCGGAGAGAGCCACACGCAGACACGAGAACATTCACTAAAGTCAGAACCTCGCCTAGACCCGGTGGAGAAAACGCGCCCCCGGTCAGCCCGCGCCCCCATCCAGAGGGAGCTGCCGGGCGGTGCCGTGTCGCTGACTCCTGAAAACCTCTTTCGAACAAAACGAAAAGCGGGTCAGGCTTCAGTCTCAAGGAACAGTATCTGGTGAAGGTAGAATTTCAACTCCTTAAATAAATTCAACTCAAACAACAAAAAAATCAGCATACTGGTGGGAGGGGAGCAGCCGGGACATGAATCTTGATGGCGACATGTAACGGACGCAGCCTTTTCTGTCTGAAGCCGGGCGTGAACTGGGGACCGACAGGCAGGTGAGGACCACACCTGCCAGAGCCCAGAGTCAGGCTGCACCATCCAATGCCCCGACGAGGTCACCCTGTCACCTGGCGGGCGAAGCCTCAGCTTTCTCATCTGACAACGTAACGGGACCCGAGTCTCAGCGATTTGCAGAAAACCGAGCAACAGAGGAAGTGCTCAGAGGAACACTGTGTCCCCCAGGAGCGTGCTCTGCAGACTTCAGCTGCTGCTCCTGTCTCCTCAGGCTGAGTCCTAGAGGTTCCTGAAGATCCCGCTTTGGGGTCTGCGCCCCAGTGTGGACGGGCCTGGCTCCTGCTCCTAACCAGCGGGATACGCAAAGGTCACAGGCTGTCACCTCTGTGGCCACCCCGGGACTCGCCTTGCTAGCTGGCTTCTCTATCGTGCTGGGTGTGAGGAGCGGAGAGCGGCCTCAGCTGGGAACTGCGGCCCTGGGGAGGCGATTCCCACCCACAATCACCCCAGTGTGCTCGGAAGTGGGTCCTTTCTCAGCCCCGCCTCCAGATGAAACCCCAACCTAGCAGACACCCCGCAGAGTTCTCTCGGGGCTCACAGAGCGTGTGAGTGGTTATGTAGCAACAGATAACCAGTACTCCGAGGTAGAAGGAATAAAACCAAAATGGTCAACCAAAATTCAATGGTAAAAAAACCACAGATTCTGTCTCTCCTCCCAGAAGCAGGGAAGGTTCTACCTTTAATATCATAAAGCAACTCCACCATAGGTTGCAAGAAATTCTAGAAACCATTCTCAACTCTTGTCACCATTCTCTCTATAAACTTGAGTGGCTTACGCGTTAGTAACTAATTAGATCATCATCGCCTGCTTCGTAATGTATTAAATACTCCTAGATTAATACTTCTTAGCTATAAATACCAGCTCCAGAAGGCAGGCACCGGCACACATGAGCCAACCGCCTCTGCAATACCTACTGTGTGCCAGGCACTCCTTGGCCTATGCAGCTGACACTGGGTTATTCTGACTACCGGTCCGCACTCCAGGGTACTCTCGTGGCGGCGAGGAGGGCTTAGTTTTACATGCTCGGATTCAATAACGAGCAGAGAAGCACTTAACAAATAAAGAGAAAAAGAGCGAGTCTGTACTGTGAGTGTCCAGCAGCCAAGGAATCCTGCCCCCACACCCCAGAAGGAGGCCCCACTTGGTGGACAAGACCCCAAAACCCAGCACGCCAGGTGCTCAGACTGTCATTTCTGTCCCACGTGGCTTCTAAATGCAACCAAGCCTTGGTGTGTTAGCTCCAGGAGTGGTCATTTGCGGCCACACTTAAGGAGAAGGACCTTCCCGAGGCCTGAGCCCGCAGGGGGTTAGGGCTGATCCTGGGTCACTTTCCTGTTAGGAACTGACATCAGTACTGGCTCTCTTAAAGCTAAGAAGGGAGAGATTCAATCCACTTGCGGCGACTTCAATTTCTGGTGGAGGAGGGCCCCCAGTGAACACAGGTCTTCCCTCTCACCGCCTGAGGCCCACCCCAGGGCCCCCCAGGCCTTGCCCCGGAGTCCCCAGCAGGAGGCTGCCCTCAGCCGCCCCGCGAGGCCGCGGAACTCACTTTGCTAGTGTACTTGGCTATGTCTGCAGCTACGTCGGCGGAGGCAGTGGCAATGGGCAGGTCCGCGCTGACCGAAGAGGCGAGGGTGCTTGTGGACCCCGAGTTGGTGACCAGAGGCGACGGCTGCGTGCTGGTCACCAGGGTGATGGTGGAGGTGGACGGGCTCTGGGTGATCTCCTTCTGCTGGACGGCTAGGACAGCAAAGGGACCCGGTCACCCACTGTCTCCGGCAGGGCCACCCCAGCACAAGCTCTTCTTTTCTACTTTCATGTGAACAAGAGTCTCCCTCTGACCGACTCTGGGCAGGCTCCTCCCTTCCCAGCGAGGCCTTTGCGTGGCCTGCAGAGCACTGATACAGCTTCTCTCGGTCCAGGGCAGCAACCCTGGGGGACTTTCTCCATCTTTAAAGTACCTGCGTGAGAAAACTTCAGGCTGCCAAGAACTGACTGTTCTCGAGAGAGCCGAAGACAGGCAGGGTCCCCTTCTGCCGGCTCTGTGGGCAGAGGGGCCCGGCGCTGACTGGGCACATCCCAACGGCTCCATAAGGACAGCCCTCCCACGTTCACGGTCCACTTTCCTGGCTGCTGAGTCCTTTCTCACCCTCCTCTCCACCTCCCGTTACCCCCTTCAAACCCCAGGCTCCTCTGTACAAACTGCAGCTGCCTAGACCACGATGGAATGTCCCTGTTGTTACTGATGTAAAATTCTGCCCCGACCTCTGGCTGGCCCAGCTTCGACCATCTCGGATACGAGGCCATCCAGAAGTTGTGGACCAAACCGGTTATCTATGAACCTCCTCTTGCCAGGGCGAGGGGAGACTCATCATCCTGAAGACTGAACTGGGAGTCCCAACCTCAAGATCCCAGGATCGGTGCTGCCCACCAACTGTTCAAAGGCAAGACCGACCCTGGACCCAGCCATACGCCAGCTTGCCTGCCAGCCTGCCATGTTCCCACCCTTCCCACCCAAGCTCGCCAAGGTTTCGGTGGGGGCCGCCTGCCCCTCCCCACATCCAGCCGGCTCAGGAGCGCTCTGCTCACTAGGGGCGCTCCGTGCATGTGAGTTTCAACAAAGGGAACCCACCTAGCTGCGAGTCCCCTCCCCCGCCCCCCAGAGATCTACATCAGGGCTCACCAAAGCCGGGGAACTGGTACCCATCAGATGGGCACTGGGTGCAACCTCACATCCAGCTCCAGATGGAGCCTCCTGCAGTCTTGATTCCACAACTCCAGCAACTGGTTCTTGACGCCAGCTCTTCTTTTGTCGTGGCTAATGCCTCACTACTAAGGAAACCTCGGCTACCAGCTTCCCACCCTACACTTGTTTCAGAATCAGGCCGGGAGGGTGCACAAATGTGCACCCGGTAGTCACTGCAGCAATGCTTGTAACGGGGGGGGAAACTGGAAGCAACCTAACGCCCATCAGTAGGGGAATGCACTGAGCTATGGAATACTATGCAGCAGTCCAAAAGGGTACGGCAGAGCTATACGTACTGACATGACAGACCTCCAAAACATGCTGATGGGTGAAAAAAAGCAAGTATGGTACCATTTTTATGTATTAAAAAAGAAAACAGGAAAAAAAGTGATATTTTTATGGAGTCCTACGTATAAGTACATCTATGTGCATTCATGCATTAAAAAGACTTCGAGGGTGCGCGCTGGCCTTGGAGAAGGACGGGGAGTGACGTGGACAGTCAATCCGCACAAAACAGACTTGTGCGTTAAGTCCCTTGCCCCCTCTCGAAGGAGGACCCTCGCGTGTATTGTTTAGAAAATGGGGGGAAAAATAAAAGGAAAAAACTCAAGTCACAAAACAAGATTTGAAAAGAAGGCCAATGGGACAGGGGAGGCCGAGCGCTGACGGCGGCCAGGAAACCAACTCAAAAAGGAAAACAATGGCTTTCTCCCGTCGGTGTGGCAAAAAGGGAACGGCCACAGAGAACAGAAGGGGCAGCTCGGTACCTTTCACAGCCTGTCTGGTCTGATATCTCGTCCCCTGGGAAGACTGAGGCTGCTGCTGCTGGCTTTGCTGCTGCTGCTGCTGCTGCTGCTGTTGCTGCCGCTGCATCTTCTGCATGTGCCACTTTTGAGAAGACGTTTGAAACTTACTTGACGCGTTCCACACGACCCGCTGCACGGCCGGGGCAGTCTCCTTCGGTAAGAGCGGCCTCTGCTTTTTCACCGGGCTTCCCGTGACGGCGGTGGCCGGGGCCGTGACCATGGACGTGGTGCTGGTGGTGGGCGTGACACCAGCCGTGGGCGTTTGGGAGGAAGAGCGGGTGAGGACTGGCGTTTCAGGGGGAGACTGGCTGCCCGCCGTCGTGGATGGTGGCGTTTTACCTACGACTAAAGCCAATGCGTGAAGAAAAAAAAAAAAAGATGGGACTTAAGTCAGGGTCATCGGCCAGGCGTGTCCAGGACACCAGGCTCGGGGCGAGGTCACCCGAGGCCCGGGATGCTGAACCGATCCGGCACAGCCAGGGCACCCCAGGGACAAGCTCTTCCTCGCCTTCTACCGGCCCGGCACTGCCCCCCACCCCCACACCTGCTCGCATCCAAGCACATGCCCAGACCTCGGGGTAAGGGAGGCCCAACCCAGGAGCCCAGTCAGCAGGCGGCAAGTGAACAGAATCACGACAGGGTCTTGTTCTTACCAAGAGTTGGCGAGACACTTTGAGAAAGACCCAGCCAAGGTGAACCCGGAGAGTAAGACAAAGCCTCTGGCTAGGGGCCTCCACAGGCCTGGACCTCAGAACCAGAGGTTCCCGCGGGCCAAAACACTACGTGGCATTCGATTGACCCCAAAGGAAAGTGACCCTTCAAGCCCTTCTGATTCCCGACCCCTGACCACCCAGGCCGCTGTAGTGCTGACGGCCCTCACGCCCGACACCAAAGGGACCCTTCCCAACGAGGTGGAGGGACCCCCATCCTGGAGCAGCTTCTGGCCATGCTCCGGCCACCGTGACCATGGCCGGCGCTGGCGATATGGCTTCCTCATGTGTGGTGGTCAAGTTCAAGTCAAACACGAGCTTGTATTTTTATAAAGAGTGACTTTTGCTTCAAATAAAAACAGTAAGCCAATCAATACAGAAGCAGGACTTCGGAATGGCCAAAATGGTGACTGGGAACTGAATCCATTCTGAAAAAGCAGCCTGAGGGGTTGTGTGTCCGGGGGAGCTGGGCGATGGGCGAGGTAGGGTTCCAACAGGCAGGGTGAGGACCTGGGGAAAGCATCAGCCAAGACGCGTCCAGAAAAGGGAGCGTTACGGTGCGTGAGCACAGGCGTGCGGGCGCCGGGAGGCAGGTTAGAGCCAGAAGCGCTGAGCAGCGTAGAGGGGGGTGGCCCGTGAGTGCTCCTTTGGGAATGGGCAGAGGCCCCTCCTCAGTGGGGGGCCCCTCCCCCACCCCACTGCCCTACCCCAGAATGCCCGGGCCACACCCCACCAGGGAAGCCGCCCGAACGCCATCTGGTTGTGGCCTTGACTAACTCCCATTTGTGAGCATCACACCCAGGAGAGCCGTGAGCCTGATTATTCTAGGGGGTTCAGTGAACTGTGCTTTGGGGGTAGTGAGAGCGTAGACAGGTTGGGTTTTGTGACTCCATCCCATCTGGCTGGCCCTCCTGCTCCTCTGGAGAGGAGAGTTCAACCAAGTTCATGGGCAAGGACAGAGGGCGAGGCTAAGGCTTCTGTGGTGAGGCTCCCCGCAGACCACCTGCCAGACACGGATGCAGGTGCGGCCCTTCCTGGGGCCTGCGCTGGCCCTTCTGTGGGTCGTCCCCCCCCAGAAGCCTCTGCGGGCATGTATACATCAGCGCCTCTCCTTTCTGCCCTGACCCCAAACCAGGTTGTTACTCTTAATTAACTGGCCTGGTTCCCCTGTCGGGTAAAAGACAACCTACAAAAAAGCCCTCTCCCAACCTGCAAGAGCAAACAGCTGGCTTGGTTCTGCTACTCTACAGTAGTCCTGTTTCTCCACAGGAAAACTGCAGTGCAGACGCTGAAACTCTGGCAGCTGTGGGGGCTAGCATTTATAAACGGAAATATTTTTGTTTCTAGAGGAGTCTGATGGCTTTGGGGGGAGAGGTGACAGGAAACTGCACGTGTCCTAGAAATTTAGAGTGTATAATCAATTTTGGGTTGAGTCTGAACCCCCAAAACAGTGACTCTTGTAAAGGTCAGCACCATCCAACTGTGCTCATTCCAGAGTTTGGTGGCTGCCAAAAGGAGGTCTGTCTAAGGATGGAAACGGCTGGAGCCACAGGGCAGGCACAACCAGGTCTCCCAGCCGCTCCCTCCGCCTCCGTTCTGGGATCCCTGGCTGCAGAAGCCGCTCTCCTGCGGAGAACTCATGTTCTATGCATTAGCTGTCTTCATTGCTGAAGGTAGGCTGGCGGTCAGGACAACACCCTGGAAAAAGCTCTTAACTCCTCAGACAAAGATGACCTATTACAGAATCTAACATGAAGACCATTCCTCACGACCCTAGTCACCCTCGGAGGCTCTTGACTTAAGGCCAGTCAGTCTTGCCCCATCGTGGGAAGCTGCTCTAAGCTGCTCTAACTAAATTGCTTTGAAATCATCTTCAGTTGAAATACCGACCACCACCTAGGGTCTTGCGGAGGAATATCCTTCAGACATCAGTGTAGGGCAAAGTTCTGCTTCATTTAATCAACTGAAAAAGTTCTTTTTATTTTTTAGAAAACATGAGGTTTTTTCCTACAGAATTGTGTTCCTTTTTGCTTGGACTGCTAGGAAGCTCAGAGACCAAATGCTAACTCTGAAGGCTGCAGTGGGACGTGATCCTATACACAGGACTCCCAGACCTTTCGCTATTCTACCTTCATTTTACACTTCATTTTCGTTGTGTTTCACAGTTATGTATTCATTTCAACCTTTTGCAATCTCTTTCTGGAAGAAGGGGCATGAAACCAATCAATCAAAAGACCTGGTCCAAAAAAGAACATAAGAACAGAAAGAAATCATTTCCAGAAACCCTGCAGTCTGCACCCGGACATTGCCACAAGCCTCGTGGAGTAAGTACTGCTCCTGGGGCTCTCTGCAGCCTCAAAAGTGCTCCCCCAAGCCCACATCATCATTGACTTTTTCAGGGCAAGCCATAAACCTCAGAGATGACTCAGGAGTGAGGGGGTTCTCATCATTCCTCTCTCCCTCCACTGCACCATTCCAACATATTCCGTACTCTCGTGATAACTGCAAGGGAATTCTTCCTAACAACTGAAGGTTCTAGAACAGTTCAGTTAACATAAGCAGAGAAGAAAGACTCAAAGGTCAGGTCCTGACTTACTGCTTACTGGACGCAGAGGACTAAACACCCCTGAGGGCAGCACAGACTCACACCTTTTGGCTGCAGTTAGCTCCTGTCACCAGTTAGCCACGGTCCAAAAGGTGCAACCGTTAAGTTACTTCCAAAGCTTATGGCTACCGCCTCCATTTCGTCCTTGGGCAGTATTTCTCCTAGACCCTCAATTAATTCCTCATTATCTTTCTTGGGCATGTTGGCAGCCCTTCAACACCCACTTGTCAAACCAAGTGAGAAATGTGCTGACTGCTGTGTCATTGGGAAGGGCCCATCAAATCGTTCACGGGTTCTTTCTGGAAGGTTTGCCAACACGCCAGGACTGTGGCAGGGCGGGCTGGGGGGCAGAGCCCGTGCGGGCTCAGTCTAGAACAGCAGCAAAGGAAGGCGGGCTTGGACTCAGCAACTGTAAACTCAGGAGGGGGCTTTTCAATGTCCAACATTTTTGAATGCCACTGCTGGCTGTGTGCAGAGCCAAGGATGCCCCTGAACATCCTCTAACCACAGGACAAGAGCTGCCCGGCACAAAATGTCAGCACCAGGACTGAGCAGCCTGGACTCAGCTCAGGTAAATGCAAACAGGTGCGACACCAGGCAGCGCCCCTTCAGGAAGCACCTGGCCTCATCCTGATACTGCCTATCCCAAGTGGCCTCGGAGGCAAGTGAGAAAGTGGGCGTTAAGATGCCTGACAGCAGGGGACAAAGAAAGACAGGCATCCAGCCTGCAAACTAAACACCTCTAGGAATGTAAGTCCTGTCAAATGTCTGAATGTTGACAAACACTTTCGGTGCAAGGTGTGAGCACGCTGAGAAAGAATCTTAGTCTACTTGGGCTAGAAATGCCTGGATCGCGAAAATCAACTGCTGTTTTTCCGAAATGACTTACTTTCTGGGCTCAAGGTCAACCACCTCTGGTAGCCTAGCAGGTAAAGGCAGGCAAGGCCCAGGTGAAGTTCTGGTCACACTCGGTACCTAAAGGCAATCCCAGCATAGCTGAGCCCCCCTCCATGATGTGTGAGGGTCTGCTAATACTTCTGATAATATGACCACCAAGTGGCATTCTAAACAAAATCAAGAAACTGGAAGCTGGTACAATCACTTACCATCCTGTTTGGGAGATGATTCTTTGGGTTCCTTCTTATTTTTTCGACCCTCCCTCCCAGAATGGTCTTCTCCTAAATCTATGACAAGTTCGCTCTCTGAATCGGAGTCCAGGCCCAAATGTACTGTTGGGGAATCCGTCTCATCTTTTCCCTTCAGTTTATCCTTTGTGGGATGAGGTGAGGGCTTCGCTTTTTCTGGAAAGTCTTTCTCGGGCTGGGGGCTGGCCTTTTCCTTGACTGTGCCCGGCTCTGCTTTCTCGCTGGTCGGCGATGTGCTTTTCATCTCCTCTTTAGCATCCACTGGGTTTGCCAGTTTGGGCTTTTTTTTGACAGCAGATGGCTCTCTGTCCATCCGACTACCCTCTTTGTCTTCTGCATCTTCTGGCTCATTCTTGGACTTCTGCTCATCATCACTGATATACTCACTATCGCTACTATCTGACTTCTCAGAATCTTCCGAATCGCTGTGCTCTACGGCCGTATAAACATCTTCTGAGATTTCATTTATGCCTAAATTCAAAGAGAAAACCCAGCATGTGGCGTAGTCACAAAATAAAGAACATGGCCAAAAAGGCAAACATTTTCCACGCCAAACGCTGGAATAAAAAACATTTCAAAATGTATCACATGGGCCTGGTGGGGTTAGTAGTGAGCCAAATTGCAACTGAATACAGCTGACAAGTGCAACCCATGGTTGCAGGGTTCAGTTATTAAGATTCAAAGATGACATGGGACCTAGCAACATCAATTGTAAATTTTAAATCTAGCTAAGTCTCTGTAACAGCGATAACTAAACAGGATAGGGGGGTTGGGAGAGGCAGAAGAGGAACAGCAGGCATGAGCTGCTAAAGCTGCCCCATCTGACAGCTGAGAAAACAGGCCCAGAGAAATCACCTGACCTCAGACACAAAGAAAACCAAGACAGAGACAAAGGCAGAATCCCAGGCTCCTGCTCGCCGCCGACACTCAACCCATACAACCCCAAAGCGTTTAAGTCCTTTATTCTGTATCGAGAGCTCCAGGAAGTAAGTCAAAGCCCTGAGACAGAGGCTGCAGACTCACAGCCCGCAAGTCACAACTGACCAGAAACACTGTGTTTGGGAAGCAGGGAACTGGCTCCTTTTGTTGTTACTTGTTTTTCAATTTAGAACTCGCCGCCCATTTCACAAATCAGAGAATTTCCCACAGAAATCAAGATGGCGGGCTTGTGTTCACTATCAGATCTGGCCATCTGTCTGGGTCACAGACTGACAAGGTGATGCTGGCCTGGCAACCACCAGCCCCTCGGGCGGGGAGCACTTCTGGGAGCCTGGCGCCTGGACACCCTCTTCTCTCTGACCAAATACGGCCAACAGTCATAGGATTTGCACTGTTCTGCTTACAATGGGTTAAGAAGTAAGGACCCCCCCCCCCCATTTCCATAGCTCTAGCAAAAGGGAAAAAGACAAAAGAGCATCCCAAGACACACACACACACACACACACACACACACACACTAATGTGGGCAAAGCAGATTCCTAACCACAGCTCTATTTAACCCATTTAAATGCCTGCTTTTGCCAGAAGGGCAATGGGGGTTAAGTAATAAGCCCAATCAGCTCTTGGCACTTGTCTTCAAGCTCGAGGAATTGTCCCCTGATGTCACAAACTGTCAAGCAGCTGTATGGAAGGTTATCATCCTCGTCCAGACAAACGGGCAGGACGCTGGCCCAAGGACACACGCACCAGCACCGCCACCAGGACTAGATCGACCACAGACAACTCAAAACACAAAAATGCAGATCTACCGTCATGTCTGGGGCCTGGACTTGAGCCTGAGAGCTAATGCCTGCACACAAAATACAGCAGGACCACTCACCACCAGGAAGGGCTCGGTACTGACTGGAGCCTGGAGGACGGGAGTTCAAATCCAGCTCCTCCATGCTACGAGCTGTGTGACCCTGGCCGAGAGACCTACCTCTCTGAGCCTTAGCTTCTTCATTTGCAAAGTGAGACTGATACAGTATTGACCTCGCAGGTCCTTCTAGGCACAGCATTTAAACAGTGCAGAATACAATACACACAGAACACTCAATAAGTAGTATGAAAATTCTAGTTAACAGAAGTCAACAAGTTCAAGCAGCTGCATGGAAGGACCCAAGAGAAACTGAAACGCCCTCAAAACACCATCCATGACACTCTGTGTCCACCAATACGCAGCCCCAAAGGAATGCATGCCTCTGGCAGCCCCAGACAACCCTCACCTACAGCTCCTTCCTCACCCACAGGCCCCGAGCACCCACTGATGTGCAAAACCCCTCCTTGGAGAGGCTCTCCCACCCCACCTCATTGAATCCTGGCTGTATGTATTCAACAAATTCTCCAAAGCACCTACTATGTTCACAAGACCTTGGAGAAGGCAAATCCTTACAAGGCAACCTCCCTGCCCTCAAGGAGCTTCCAGTCTAGGTTGGCAGGGATAACCCCACACCAAGGGACGACTGATGCTGTGGGGGTAGTAAAGTATCAAAGGAGGCAGGCAGCTGGGCTAGGCAATCAGAGGAGACTTCTGGAGGCGGCGAGACCCGAGCTCGGCCTTTGGGGCAGAATCCAGGTAGGCAGTGTGAAGGCAGGCAGCACGAGGAAGGGAGACAATAGGAGAAGAAGCGGGATGGGTTGGCCAGGAGGTGAGCAGCCCAGTCTGGAGGGAAGGGGTATGTGCAGGACTCATGGGGTTCCAGTGTGGAAACACAGACCTGTTCTGAGAGGACACACAGAGGCAGACTCAGGAGGAGCTTTCTGCCTCTGGACTTTCTCTGCAGGCTGCCGCCACCAAAGTCTACACAGAGGGACTCACAGAGGCCTTCTGAACAATTAAGTGGCAAATCAGAAACGTGACGCCATGAGTAGACGTGCACTTTGGGGGAACCAATAATTGAAGGTGAAAGCAGCTGCTGGGAGCAGACAAGACAGGATCCACCTCTGGTTTCCTCTGGCGCCCTCACGAGCAGGAGTAACGGCGAGGATGGAAGCGGACCAAAAGACATACCTAATTGTGCTTTGCAACTCTCTATCGTCTTGTCAAGGTTTAGCTGGAACCTGCTACGAATCTGCCGCTTGGGAGAGATGAGAGGAACAGGGGCAGACTGCTGCTGGACGGACTCGCTCAGCTCCTTCAAATCCATCTCGGCCTTGCTTCGATCTGGAAGGCATCATCACAGCACATGAGACCAGGCCTGACTCGGCCACACGCCACATCTTACAGCGCGGACTGAGGAGAGGTACAGGGGGACCTACAAGCTGCTGGTCGTTTTCCCCAACAATATCACTGAGAAAGTTCATCCGAGAGCAGGTTCATTCAGCCTGGGTTGCTTTCACTCTTTGAAACACACAATCGGGCCCTCCCTGGGGGCACAGCGGGTTAGAGCTCAGCACTGCAAGCTGGCTGCAGCCACTTCAGTGGGAGTTCAATCCCCGCCCCGGAGGTGACCCACATGGCCGGCAGACCTCTCCTGACCCGCCTGCTGCTCTCCTCAGCAGTGTGCTTCACCAGTTTGCCTGTTTTGCTCCCCACTGTGTCTCTGGTGAAGCCTCTCACCGCCCCTGTACCTCGGCCTGTACTGCTGTTCTGTATGTATAAAGGAATCTTTAAAAAAAAAAAAAAAAAAAAAACTTTAAAACAAGCATACAGCCCCAGATAGACTGCTGTCGGTGGGACTCAGCATCAGTGGGTCCCTTGAAGGTCAAAGGTTATGGCAATAGGGCCCTCCCTGGTGACACAGTGGGTTAAAACACAACACTATGAAGCTGTCCACAGCCACTGCGGCACGAGTTCGATCCCCAGCCAGGGAGCTGACCCGCATGGCCTGGCAGACCTCTCCTATCTCCCCACTGCTCCCCTCTGCAGTGTGTTTCAGTAGGTTCACCTGTGCTGCTCCCCACTATCTCTGGTGAATCCTCTCACCTCCCACACCTCTGGGCTGTACCCCAGTTTGTGTGCATAAATAAATACATCTTCAAAAAATAAAGTCCTAGGAAAAAAAAAATCTAATTCCCCCAGTGGCTTCTTTACAAGTTGTCACTTGAAAGCACTTTTTAAAAAATCACAATAAACTATCTTTCTTAATATAAAAAAATAAATAAATAAAAAAAATAAAGTCCTTGGCAGTCGAGCTGCACACATGATGGCAAAGGGGAAGGATGTGAAGTCTATCTCAAAATTTCTGCTTTCAGAAATGAGGCAGCAGGGTGGATTCCAGAGGGAGAGACAACCTTTATCCGTTAAGCTAGAAAAACAAGGTTCTCACAAAAGCTATTTTCCACGAGGGACGAGAGCACAGCGACCGAGCGAAGTGTCCCCCGTGACTAACAGACAACACACAGCCCACCACCACCCACCGGCCTGGGTCACCAAGCTCTTTTTCCGTCAGTGCCAAGGAGGGAGTGAGGCTCTACAGGCCCCTTAACCTCTGGGGCCAAAAAATGGCCAGGAATGTTTAAGTAGCTGTGTCCCAATAAAACTTTATTTGCAAAAAAAAAAAACAGGGTGGTGGGGGAGGCGCCTGGAACACAGGTGTACCATTTGTTTCCCTGCCAGCCACAGCTAACCTTGACTCCACACTGCTATCTCCTGTAGAGCTTTCAAAAATCCTATTTTTCTCACCCACAGAGAGTCTGAATTATCTGGCCTGGGAAAGGTCTAAGATCTGTACATCGGCCTTCTTTCAAGATCCCCAGGTGATTTCCATCAGCAGCCAAGGCTGGAAACCCATGTGAGTGAAGGAAACGCTCCGACTCCCCTTAACCCTTGTGTGTCTGTATCAACAGCAACGCTCTTCCACCCCTTCCACCCCTTAGGGCTCACGACCAGAGGCCTCACCATACTCACGGGAGTGAGTGAAAGGGCAAGAACAGGAAATGCCAGCTTCCCACTTCAGCCTAAAAAGACTGGACTCTGGCATATTCACAGTCCAAGGCATGAAAAGATGCAAAGCGCCTCATTTTACAAAAATAAGGTGCCTCCAGGCATGAAGCCAACTTAGTGTTTACTCAATTATCCAGCAAAAGCCGGGGCTGGGATCAGGCTGGGATTAGGTCCCCGGGCTCCGGCCTTGAGAGCTGTAGCCAGATGTAATTATCTTTCTCCAGCTTCTGGCGGGCTGTGCCCCCCTCCTCGGCAGGCAGAAAGAGGGTTTCTCGTTTAGCTCAGTAGCTTATCAGCACTGGTTCTGTCCCTGCCCTTCTATATCAGGAATATCTTCAGCACCCACCCTTGCTGCCAACATTTTGAACTTTTCAGCTGATATGAAGACAGCTTAGGCTATAAATGGAATGCAGGGATAAAAAATACCCTTGCTTGAAAAGGAGGCACGATCTTACATTTCTGGAGGGAGCTCACATCAGAACTGCCCCTTTAGGGGGGTAGCTGGCGGCATCTCCCAAAATGTCAAGCGCACGAGGCCTCTGACCTCACCATTCGGCTTCTAGGAATTTAGCCTACGGATATGTCCCATCTGGGCACAAGGCTCTTCTTTGCCACAGCCGTTTCAAGGGCAAAAAGGAAAATAAACCACAGTCAATAAGTAAAGAGCCTGAATGAACAAGTGCAAGTTCAAGTTCACCTTGACATGGAATGAAATGCAAGGGTGTACAAAAGCTGTGGAAGAGCTCAAGAGCTGACGGGGACAGGAAGTGAGGTCAGCAGGGCGTGCAGGCTGGGGGGGAACGGCACGACCCAGCTGTCACTGTCTCTGGGGTCCACAGAACTGGCACCCCTGAGCCAGGTGAGAGGCGTCTCTGCTGTGAGGAAAGTGGGTGAGGCTGCCGGGCCTTGTGTGGCACGACGGTCTCTCCCCACGAGATGCCAATAGCAACTGCATCCCAGTTGTGACAATAAAAATGTCTCCCAGTGTTGTCATATGTCCCCGGGGGGGCCTCGAAACCACCCAGGGAAACACTGTGTTTCTCTAGAAGATTCTCCAAGGAGACAGACAGGCCACAGAGGTCACCTGTGGAAGGGAACCAGAGCAGGTGACCAGAGGCTGAAGAGACACCTTTTCACTCACATTTCTTTCCATACTTTGAAATTTTACCATGTGCATTAGTTACTTGCAAAAACAGAATAAACTTTTAAAAAGAAAAATATAAGAAATTTCAGCTAAAAAGCAAAACACAACAGATCTCCTTGGCCAGGTAGCAATGGGCCCGCTGGGAGGGCGGACTAGCATGCGCCTCAAGATGGCGGCACGTGCCAGCGACTGTTCGGACAGGAGGCCCTGCCAGGGGCTCTCTAATCAATCAAAGTCCAGCAGAGAGCATCACCTCATTCAGTGGGAAAAAAGAAAAATATGACGACTTCTGAGAAAGCCGGGTCCTCGGCTCTCAAAGGCCGCCTGATGTGCCTGGTGCCTCTTTTCATAAAGACGGGGCCCCAGCAGTGACCAAGGGCCCAGCTCCAGGCTCCACTTGACAACCCTCCCCGTCACCCCCACAGAGCGCCAAGGTATTTCTGCCATGAACAGGACTGGCTGTGTTTTGCTTGACCCAAAGCAAACACCCTCGATGAGGTAAGAGCAGACGAGATTACCAGCCCAGGCCTTCCTCCTCTCCCCTCGCCTTGAAGACTTATTTACAATCACGTGAAGTCACAGAAGAGGGCTGGAATAACCTGCCAGGAACTGGCTTCTTTTGAGGGGAACAAAGCCCAAGACCCAATGCGAGGCCCAGGCCTTAGCAAGTAGGGAGAGAACCAGGTCTCCGCATAGAGCACCCCTCTGTCCAGCACAATTCATACAGTCATCCAGGTGATAAGCAATAGGTGGCCCCGTATTTTTTTATTTTTGGTTGCATTTGTTTGACCGAAGTAAGAGTTTTTGTTTTTAATGAAACGGTTCATCTCTAAGATCTAGGAGAGTTAATATGAGAACATTCTGATTTGTTTTTCTTGGAAATACAGACAACTGACAAGACAGTCGAGATGGTGGAGGGGCGGGGGGGAGTGGGAGGGAGGCTTCCTTCAGAAAGCACCTTCATTGCTAAGGGACCCCCGTTCCAAATCGGGACCTTGCCCCTGACTCAACGGCTGATCCAACACACACCACCCCAAGTGTTCCATGGGTTAAGAGGCAGCGACACAGTACACGAGCCTGAGTCTGATGGCCAAGCTCTACCTCGAGCTGTCCTGGCTAGCCAGCTGTTTCTCAGTGCCTCAGTGTCCTCTTCTGTTACAAGGGGCTCTTTCCTACTTCAGACACTGTTGTTTTACAGAGTAAAACTCACAGGACATTCAGTGCAGCCACGCCTCAGACAGGAGGCAGAATTCCATCTCCGAAAGAAGTGTAGCCAAGCCCCCGTTAACCCTCACCAGGACCATCACAGATGCTCTTTAGCTCCACAGAATGTTTGCCTCTTCCAGCTGTTATTTTTAACAATAGCTTTGTTAGAGGTAACAATAGCAAAGCCGCCTGTTGTATTCGTTCCTGTAGATTCGATACCGATGACAAACATTACTGATGACAAACATTACCGATGACAAACATGATCAAGGACCCTAAAAAGCATCTGCCCGACCCCAAGATGCCATGGAGACTTATCTAGCATTCCCGTCATTCTCTGCCTTTCCCTTCCCATCACAGCATGTTCCCTGGTACCTATCTGACCGATCCTCCTCCCATCAGGTAACTGAAGCCCCACCCCCAAAATGCCCTCATTTCAGTGTTTTCCTGCCTGCTGACCAGAGGAGTGTGCATCCCACAGGGAAGGGCAGGCACTGTGCCCAACCACCGTGACACCAACAGGGAACTGCCTCATACTCCCAAGGGGGGTGAGTCAAGCTGCTGCCCCATGACACAGGCCCACCTGACTTAGGGAGGGAGCCATTCCTGGCGCACATGACCAGCAGAGGGGAACTGGCCATGAGAATGCCCCAGGCAAGGTTCTTGGGGGGTGGGAGGCGGGTGTGAGAAAGGAAGCCAGGCTGTTGCAGAAAATGACTGTTCCCCTGGCAGCAAAAGGGTCCCCTTTCGCTCAGTGAGGAGTTCCCACCAATCAAGCTGACATGGAGGCCCTCGGCTAACATCCTGCCCCTGGTGACCCGGGTCACTGAAGCACCAGCCTCCGTGGACTCCACAAGGGCTTGATCCAGCGTTGCCAATGGCCAGTTCCATGACCCTGGCTGCCCAGTCACCTCTCCCCAGAACTCAGTTTCTCCACCTGAAAACAGCCCTGCAGAGCAAGATGAAACCAGAGGGCACTGGCCACTGAGGCTGAGGACTCAGTCCACACAGGTGGCCACCCCTCCCTCCTAAAGCCAGCTATACTGAAGCCACCAGCACCACACACTCACCTGGGCTGCTTCTCCCAGTCCTCTGCCTCTTTTCAGCAACCTCTGCTCACTTCGCCTCCTCCCAACCTACATGCCAAGTGCCCAAGACCCTCTTGTTTCCTTGTGTTCTAGACCAGGGTCTCTCAGCCTCAGCACTATTGCTATCAGGGCCGGTCCTCCGCAGCACAGGGTGGTGGGCACTTCTGGCCTCCAGCCACTAGATGGCAATAGCACCCCCCGCCCCGCCTTCTCACGCTGTGAGAACTCCTGCTCTGACCCAATCCCAGGCATAAATCAGGCTTTCCACCTCCTGCCCCCGCCCTGGCCTGAGGGTGCCCTTGCTCCAAGGGCCCTCCCAACCTCTCCCAGTGGCAGTCTAGTGGGTGTCTACAACTGACCTCTGAGATTCCCGTTTCTCCTGCCACAAGTAAAGCTATTAACACAGTTATAGTTATATACATAGTTATAGCTGCTTGGTGTGCAGGCCAGTTCTGTGCATTACAGGGTGTTCAGCAGCATCCTGGGACTCTACCTACTAGACGACAATTGCTAACCCCCACCACACAGTCGTGACAAACCAAAAAGAGCACCGCCAGACACTTGGACCCCAAGGGGTGGAATGAACTGCCCTTGGCTGAGAATGGTGGACACAGGAGTCTCTAACACAGCACCCGAGCTGTCCACTGGTGCCATTTCAGCCACAGGGCTTCCCTGCCACAAAGCCCTTCACAGAGGAGGCTACAGGTCCTCTCACCTCTCCCTCCCCCTCCCTCCCCACAAGCCTTCCCCTGGGCCTCCCAACCAACCACTCCTGTGACACCTCCAGGTCTTCCTTATTCTAGGGTTTGCAAATACCTTGTTCCTTCTAGAAAGTTCTTCCTCCAGATACAGGGAAGGGTGGCTTTTCTTGTTGCGCAAAAAATCAATACACTCATATGAACCTCCTTGAAAGGCGTGAACTGTCTTGTTCAGGTACCTGGAGTACTGTAGTTTCCTCTAGCTCCCTCTCTAGAACTGAGACTTTGCCCAAGCAGAGTCTTATTCACCGTTCTATGCGCCATGCCTGACTTAGCAAATAGCACATAACAGCAACTCAATAAAAATCAGAAATCATGACGGAATCAACCAGTAAAATAAACTTCACACATACATACTTAAGCATTCCTGGTGCCAATTTTTGCTAAAGACTTTGGCCTACAGTAGTGTTTTTAGAACTGAAACCCAAAAATCAGGGGTCCTCTCTGGTGGCACAACAGGTTAAAACACAGCACTATGAAGAGATCTGTAGCCACTGCAGCGTGAGTTCAATCCCCGGCCAGGAAGTGACCCACAGTGTGCAGCAGACCTCTCCTGTCTCGCCCGCTGCTCCCCTCAGCAATGCATTTTAGTGCATCTGCCTGTTCTGCTCCCCACTTTGTCTCTGGTAAATTCTCTCACCCCCTGGACCTCTGGCCTGTACCCCAGTTCTTGTATGCGTAAAT